GCCGGCCTGGGTGTGCCGGCACAGGGCCCCTCCCTCAAATGGTTTGTTTTTATAATATGCATTTTCCATGAACTTTCTGAAGGCTCCCTACCCCCATACATATCACATCAGAATGGTCCCACAGTGCTCCATGTATCCTTTACATGAGTACATCTGGACTTAATACTTGAGAGAATTATGGTGGAATTTCATTGAATCCCTGGGGTCATAATTTTCTGGGTGACTGTTGATTTTTGCAGGTGAAGACAAATATATTTGCCATCTTTATAGGATGGACACTAGAGAAAAAAGCATCACTCTGTTCTTATAAACAATTTGGCTGCAGGTGGATGATGAAAGGATTGTATTTGGGTTAGACATTATAGTAAAATGGGAAATAATTACTTTTTTACTTGTTTGTAGATCTTGGACAAATTTTTGACTATTAGGCACTTGTAAATAGGTAATAGGTATAGCAGGGACTGGTACAAGAATTAATGAGTCCTTTTTCTAAGCTCTTCCATGGCTTCAGCTCTAGAGGATATTGAAGTAGTTTAGATAAAGATTTAGAAGAATCTATCTGGGCTCTAAGCTTTTGCTCCATTTTTTTGTCTGTGCTCAGAATATTTTGCCCATAGAGAGTATGACACCATAGTTAATTCTTCAATTATTCCCCTTCCCCAGTTTTTTTGATAGTACTTGATTTTAATTATGCAGATTAACATGCCGATTTAAAACACATGGCATTCCCTGGTTCACATTTTAATTTTTTAATAGTAAAATTTTGGGGCACAGTATGATTTGCAATATGTGCATACAGTTCATAGTGATTAAATCAGGGCAACAGACATATCCATCATTTCAATAATTTATTATTACTTTATGTTAAGAACATTTAAAATTCTTCTAGTTATTTGAAATATACATTGTTATTAACTATAGATACTTTACTGTACTCTAGAACTCATTCCTCTTATCTAACTTCAATTTTGTATTTGTTGACCAAATTCTCTTTATGCTACCCCCCCCATTCCCTACCTCTTACTAGCTTCTGGTGTCCACTGTTTCCCTGTCTACTTCTATGTAATTGAGTCTTTTAGCTTTCACAAATGAGTGAGAACATGTGTTATTTGTCTTTTAGTGCCTGGCTCATTTCACTTTCATAATTTTCATGATTTTCTCCAGGATTATCTATGCTGCCTCACATGGCAAAATTTCACCCTTTTTTTTTTTTAAGAGGTTTTTGCTATAGGGTGCGTGCCCTTGCCAGACGGACAGAGACAGAGAGAGAGAAAGCGAGAAATCACCCCCCCCCAGGGGGATGACCACGCTGCAATCCCTTCTCCTCCATTCTCCTCTTGGGATCCTGGGCATGCATGCACATGCGCCTGGCATGAGTTTTAAGCCACCGGGTCTGGGATGCGAACCGTGGCCGACTACGTGGGAGTCCAGTGACATAGCCATTATGCTAACTGCTGGTCCCAAAATTTCACCCTTTTTAAAAAATGACTAAATAATATATCATTATGTATGTATACTACATTGGGATACTTAGGTTAATTCGTTATCTTGTCTAGTATGAATAGTACTGCATGCGAGTGTAGATTATCTTCTTGACATACTGATTGTCTTTCTTTGGTTATATGCCCAATAGTGGGATCATAGGTAGTTCATGTCTGTTAGGTTACTTTGGGTTGTATAGACATTTTCACAATATTAATTTTCCAATCCATGACCATGCAATGTTTTTTCATTTATTTGCATCTTGTTTTCAGTAGTGATTTATATTGTGTTGTCAGAAAAGTCATGATGCATTTTTGGATAGAAAAACATGTCATGACATTTCTGAAGACTTAATAGTTTTTGTTTCAGAAATATTTTTATTTATTTATTTTATTTTTTTATGGGCACATACACTTGTCAGAGAAAAATGGAGAGAGACACAGAGACAGAGACAAAGTGAGAAAGTAGTCCAAGGGGATGGCCATGCTGTAATCTCTTCTTTGGGGATTTTGGGCATGTATGCAAGTGTGCTCAGTGTGTTTTCCAAGATGTAAGGTCTGGAACTTAAAAGGCACCATTAGCCACATGGCATCCAGCTGTCTTAATCATCATGCCATTGGCTGGCCCTGTGATAAAGATCTTTTATTTCCTTCTTTAAGTTTATTTCTGGGTATTTTATTTTGTAGCTATCGTAAGTGAGATTGCTTTCTTAATTTTTCAGATGGTTCATTATTGATGTGTAAGAGGGAACTGATTTTATATGTTGATTTTGTATCCTGCAACTTTACTGAATTAATCTGTTAGTCCTAAGACTTTCTGGGTGGCATCTGTAGGTTTTCTAATATGTGATCATGTTTACTGAAAACAGTGACGGTTTGACTTCCTTCTTTCCAACTTGGATGCCCTTAATTTATTCTTCCTTGCATATAGCTGTTCATAATAGATTCTGATGATCATTTTTTCATTCCTTTAAGAGAAAGAGAATTGGGGCGAGAGAGAGATAAAGAGAGGTATTTTTGGACAGGGTATCACTGGCATTATCCTCTTGCTCTGATCTCCCAATTGTCTAGGATTATAGCCATATGTGACTGTACCTGTTTATTCAAGTTGGCTCAGGAACTGAACCAGGCCTCCCATGTGGCTTCCAGCTTTCGAAGCAGTGGCACTCTCAGGGGTCTCTAATGATCTTTTGTATTTCTGTGGTATCTGTTGTAATAGTTTCTTTTTTGTTTGTGATACTATTTTTTTGGATCTTCCTTCTTTTTTTTAAAAAATCTAGCTAATGGTTTGTTGATTTTGTTTATCTTTGAAAAAAGCCAATTTTGGGATCAGCAAATGGTGTAATGGTTATGTTGCTAGATTCCCATGTAGTTGACCGTAATTTGCGTCCTGGACCCAGTGGCTTAAACTTATGCTGGGTGTATGTGTATGTGTGCCCAAGATCCCGAGAGGAAAATGGAGGAGAAGGGATTGAGGCATGGCCATCCCCCCAGGGAAGGAGGGGTGATTTCTTGCTCTCTGTCTCTCTGTCTCTCTCTGTCTTTCTGGCAAGTGTACATGCACTATAGCAAAAACCTCTCCAAAAAAAAAAGCCAACTTTAATTTTTATTGATTATGTATTTTTTTGTTTCTATTTCATTTATTTCTTCTCTGATCTTTATTATTTATTTCCTCTATCTTTATTGGGTTTAGTCTATTTTTGCTTTTCTAGTTTCTTGAGATGTATTTATAGGTTATTTGCCATCTTTCTGTATTTTTGAAGTCCCATGGATAAGTGAGCTGCATCTCACATGACTGGTCATGGTTTGAATCCTGGCCCCAGCAGCTTGACGAACATGCCAACCACATGTGCACGTGTGCCCCATATCCTGACAGGATGGAGAAATAGAGAAGGAATTGTGGCATGATCACACCCTGCTGGGATGTGTTCTCTCCTCTCTCTGTCTGTCTCTGGTGAGCACATGTACTCTCTGGCAATAAGGAAAAAAAAAAAATCATTTGACCATAAATGTGAAGCTTTGTTTTTGAATGATATACGTCTATCATTTTGTCAGTACCTTATTTATATAGCTGAAAGTAAGACAAAATTATTATAATCCAGAACAAAAGTATCAGATGCCAGGTTCATTTTTTTTCCTTTCTTTTCTTTCTTGTTTTTTTTGAGAGAGATTTTTGCTCTCCAAAGAGACAAAGTGATAAATCACCCCCCCAGGGAGGATGATCACACTACAATCCCTTCTCCATTCTCGTCTCGGGATCTTGGGCACGCATACACACGTATCTGGCATGAGTTTTTAAGCCGTCAGATCTGGGACCTGAACTGCAGTTGGCTACATGGAAGTCTAGTAATGCAACTATTATGCTATCTGCTGTTCCCAACACACTAGGTTCATTTTTAAGCTATATAATTACTATGCTAATCTCTAGAAATAACTGTATACAATCTGAATGAAAAATGAATGTTGAAAAACCCCATTTTAACAGAAAACTAGCAGTTCTTTGTTTATGGTGATCATAACAAACCAATTTTATTATCCTTGAATTGACTAATCATCTCAGATCAAATATTGATAACTAACTTTGAATCATACTTTACATTAGATCTATCTTTACAAATATGTAAGTGTACTTGGATCATTGATGTGTCCTCACAGGTATTTGGGACTGTCAGTAAAGCCAACATTAGCTGAAACACTGTCCACTGGGAGCCAGTATAATTAGTGGGTCTGGTCTCTGCTGATTTGCAGGACCTCAGGCATGATGAAACATGATATTTGTTGATCTGTCCATAATAGGACATAACATTTAGAAAAAAAAAAAGTTGTTTATTTTTTTCCCCCCAATCAACATTTATATTCTCTCTTTTGACCTCATGCTTTCAGTTTTTATGTGATTAAGTTTGCTAGCAAATACTAAGTTGAAAGTTAATTTTAGTGTCCTCATTCCCAGATAAGGTAATCAGTCATACTTTATGTGTGGACCCTGACTGCCCACAGCTGTTCGAACTGATGCCCTGGAGCACAGTGGCTACAGATACGTTTAGATTACAGTGCCCTGAGCCACTGCAGAGGCATTTGCTATTCATACTGGACATTTTAGCCAGTGTTTTACTATATCATGTAGTCATCAGTTACACTTCTGGGCTTTAAGTTCTGTGGATAAAATTGCATTGTAATGCCTCATCTTTTGTGTTTTCATTAAGTCTGATAGAGAAACAGCAACCTATTCTCTGTCCTAGGCGAAATTTTGTAGATTCTGAAGCAGTAGTGATCTTGATGCTTTGTTTTATCTTCTTTTTGCAGATGTAGCTGCGATAGCATGTGGTCGTGAATTCTTGGTTAATTCAAGCCGGGTGCTCTTGGACACCATCTTACAGCTTCTGGGAGACTTGAAGCCAGGACAGTGTACCAAGCTCAAAGTGTATGGTGAATAATATGAAAAAGTTTATGTCTATTCACATACTAGTTGGAATATACTGATTGGACCTGTAAACACAGTTAATTTGGCAATAGTTCTAAAAAACAGAAGAAACAGGGACCAGCAGTTAGCGTAATGGCTATGTCGCTGGACTCCCACGTAGTCGACCGCGGTTCGAGTCCCGGACCCGGTGGCTTAAAACTCACGCCGGGCACGTGTGCGTGCGTGTCCAAGATCCCG